CCTATTTCCCTTCTGAGTATCTTTCTAAAAATAAAAATACCACAGAATTATATGTGCACACGTGTTTATAGAAGCACTATGTGTTATAACTAGATTTGGGGAACAACATAAATTCCCATGCACTGAGGAATGCATAAAAAGAAGATGTGGAATTTTTATACAAGGGAGTACTATTTAGCCATAAAGAAGCATAGTTAAAATAGTTATATTACTGATTTCTCGAAGCTTTTACTAGTACTATTCATGTGACTAAAGGCAGAAGCCTTGTACTCTGAATAACTGAGTTGAAGATACGAATACACAGTGCATGTACCATTGTTACTGGTTACCCCCTAATTATAGTGCTTGGTAATTTTGGGGTTTTCTTTTAAAATAAAGTTTTATGAAAGAATTTTGTAAAAGAGCTGAGTAGTACGTGTTCACCCACATGCAATCAGCCCTACCAAACATCATAAAAGGCACCAAAGTTTTATATAGAGCATATGCCATGTGTTGCTGTTGCAAAGGGCCCTGAGACAGCCAAAGGAACCTGGTGGGCATGTGCTGAGTTAGGGAAATAATTAAAAACATTATTGACTATGGGTCAATAAAGAGAACTGTACATTAGAGAGAACCAGGTTAACACTGTCCAAGGTGGCCTTAGCCTCTGTTGTAAGCAGAGCCGTAGGGGCCTGGCCTCCCTTGACAGTATCAAAAACAAGGCCTAAATCATGAGCAGTTAGTTAAGGGTTGGGCAGAGACATTTAATGTTGCCTCCAAAAGTCAAAAAATCAGTTAATGTTGCAAGACAATTAACCTGCATCTGAAGAGTGTGGGGCACAATGTGTCTCTGTTAAATAAGGTCACCCAAATGTGAGACGGTGCCGTGGTTTGCACCTTTTCATGGGCCACTATCAGTGCATTATGAAGGGCATCACCTAAAAATTGCAGACATACTTGGTGCAACGCGGACAAAGATTCATATGCTAGAAGAATGTCATCCATGCAACAAATAAGATAAACAGATGGATCAGCCTGACTGACAAAATGGCTGCAGTCACAGACTCTCGACATATAGTAGAATTGTTTACCTTCCTTGTGGTAGGCAACACGATTGGAAAGGCCACACAGGGGCTTGATGGTTAGGAAAAGGTAAACTAAATACTAAGTGGTGTGTATGTTGAGGATGGACAGGGATTGTGAAAAAACCAGTCTTTTAAAACCAATCCACATTGTGGCTGGGGATTTAGCTCAGTGGCATTAGTCCCTGCCTTGCAAGCAGGCAGTCGTGAGTTCGATCCCCGGTATGGATACAAAAAGAAAAAGACAAAAAAAAAAAAAAAAAAAAAAAAACCACAACAAAACAAAACAAAAAAACCAATCCACATCAAGGAAGAATGAAAAGAGATAACTGTGATACTGAGCAATCCTGGTTGAAGAGCTCCCATAGGTTCCATGGTACGATTCACAGCCCATAAATCTTGTAATAACCTCCAATTCCTGGCTTCCTTTTTATCAAAATTGGAGTATTCCAAGGATTATTGCAGGGTTTGTGCCCTGCAGTCATCTCCCCATAACCAGTGTGGGAGCTGCTTCCCCTGAGTGAGGGGCCATTGATCAATCTAAACAGAGTCATTGGACATCAAAGTGATCTTGAATGCCATTCATGGGCTCACTGAAGAGATCAAGGCCTTTCCTGAAAATTCGAAGCAAAATACCCTATGCCAACAGTCCTTTTTGGGGTCTATTGGAAGGAGTTCTCTCCCTTCATGATGGTATTTACCATGCCCTTCAGTAGGGGAGCAAACTTGTCATAACATCTGTTGAAACTCAAGGAGTTAGGACTGACCAAAAATGGCTCCATGTCCTGTATACATCACAACCCCATAAAGTAAGTGGCACATGGGAAAGAAAATGAGATCAGGCACATCTGGAATGCACTTCTGCATCCCTCCAGGTTAACAATTTAGCACTTCTGCTAGGGTAAGAAACACTACACACCTCCTGCAGATCTGCAGTTGCTACACCCAGAGTCCATGCCATGGCCAGTGACATTGGGCAGCAACTGAAACATCTGTACCTGAGCCTGAAATCCCTTTGCATATTTCTGCCTCAGTGACTAATTCCATCTAGGATGATCTTCTTTAACCTGTTGAACCCAGTAAGTATCAGACAACCCAAAAACACTTGGATCTTCTTTCCTTGTTCATAGATTCTCGAATGTTTGTCAAAGGGCAAGTAACCAATTGAGCAATAGGAGAGTCAGGGATGACTTGAACAGTGCACTGAATCCCTGGAACCCTAACTGTGATCTTCCCTGCACACTCAGCATCCGTGATATGAGGCAAAACCTGAGACCTTTCAGTGAGACTTCTGTGGCCTAGGATGAGCCTCATTGTCCTTGGGAGTGAAGGTCCACAAACTCCAGGAGGAATCGCCTGGGTTCTGATTTCAGCAGTTAGTGTGAATCTTGAGGAGAGACTGAGGTCCAAAGCTCCACTGTTTTTATTGCTCACCGAATTCAGAAATGGTCTTCACAGTGGAGAGCAGGGTTGGGGAGGAAGTAGAGAAAGGACTCCAAGTTTTTGGTGGAACCAGGCCAGGCCCTGCTGAAAGTTTCATGGAATGGGTGAGTCCTCCATATCAGCTTTGAATCTACACTCAGTGGCCCAAGGATAGCCTCATCTACACTTTGGACACATATTAGAAGGTTTTGTTGAAGGGACAGCTAATGTCTGTGCTCCCCCTACAGAGGAGCACTTTTGAGGAGATGTCCGTGCCTCTGCAGCGGGAACAAGCAACCTTATTCTTTCCTTTTCCTCTAGGCTGTGGATGAAAAGCCTGAGGAATAGCTGCTGTCAAGGCAGCCCCTTTTATATATGAGGGACCAAGACACAAATCCAAATCATCTCAGACACTCTAACTCCTTTTTTTGTCGACTCTTACAACCTCTTCACACCATTTACTTTCCTTGTCAAAGGCCATTCTTAAATATTAATGTGCCAGCCTCTGTGTCATTGATAATCCTCTCTTTAGCTTGCAATTCGAGTGCTGAAAAATCCTGAATAGGTTCATCAGGATCCTGGCAAATGGAGGTCCAACCAAGAGATGTCCCATCATTTCAAGGAAGTTACCTGCAAGCCCTGGTGGCCGCTATTTTAATTTGTTGATATGCTTTCAATTCGAAACAAAGTTGTTTATTTGGGGCAGCAAAGGCACCTTCACTGGGTTAAATGACTGTTGTAATGGCCATGTTGTCAGTGGCTTTGTGAGCAGCCTGCTCTGTGCACAGGTTGAACATTTCCCTTCCACAATAAATAATCCCCTGTACTTAAACATGTTTTAGCTCCTTTCCAATCATTTGGCCCCATGACCACTTGTCCTATGACCTCTATACAACCCAAGGTAAAAAGAGCTATTGGGCCATAGGTAGTGGTCACTTGTTTAAGATCATTTGTTCTTCTAAAGTCTTAAAATGTACAGCTTTGTGAAGATACAAGTTGTCACACATTATTGTGATCTGGGACTTTCAGCATAAAAATGCTGAAAACCCTCCAAGGATTCTCCTAACACCCTAGGTTCTTTTAGTGCCAAATGTAAGGGATGACTCCTTTCTATAAAGGGCACCTGTGACATGGCAAAAATATTTTGAACTCAAAGTGGAAGCAGTCACTTGCGGAGCGCTTCAGGTTATCAGTTTTATTTTGGGTGAATGTGAAATGGAAGTCACAACAAAACACTCTTCTAATGGGAAGGGGACTTCTTCAAACCTCCTCCACAGTTCCTTCCTGATTTGATTGAGCAAGGTGAGCCATTTCAAGATCTATCAGGGGGCTACTGCTTTTCAACAGCAAGCAGAAACACCAAAACAACACTCAGGATTCAGAGGTAGATTTATTTACATCAATGGGAAGTGATGAGATCATTCTCAAAATGTCAGGTCCTCATCTCTGGTGGTCTAGGGCTTATATCAGATAAAAAACGGGGAAACACACAGAGATTGGGGATTGGTTTACACAGTGTGCATCATAGTGACCAGCTGATTAAAAGAGACAGGAGCAACTATAACCCGAACAGGAACTATTACCTGAGCAAGTAAGAAAATGACATACACTGGCTGGGGGATGGGTACATTTTCTCCTAAAGTTCCACTATCCTTTTTCTGCTTGGTACTTAGCTTTTAGGTAGTGCTTCAAGTCGGGCATGGTGGCACACGCCTGTAATCCCAGCATTTGGGAGACTGAGGTAAGAGCATCAGTGCAAGTTTGCGGCTAGCCTCAACTGCATAATGAAATACTATCTCAAAAAGACAAAATAAAAAAAGTAATGCTTCAAGTCGATTCCTCTTTGGTCTTCTCAACATGCTTATGATCACTGAGATAATCCCTTATCCCGGTCCACAACAGAAAAATAGAGGAATCCATAATATAGTAATACAATAAGCATTTGTACACAAATCTGTTGTTTTTGAGAACCTCTTTCTCCCATGTTTTATACCTCATGACATGGATGTTGAAAATATCAATACAATTATCCCTCCTATCCTTTTCTCCAGCCTGATGTGTGTTCTTGCTTCATGGCATCCTGTTTCGTTCATGCACACACCCACAATGTGTCCTCTCTTCTGCTATATAATGAGTTTCCTCATGTTCCAGGTCCTTCTTCAGATACCAAAATGTCATGTCCAGTGCAGCTCTCAAAATTCATAAGGAGAGGACAGACAAGGACAAAAAAATGAAGCCAAAAGTCAGAATACTGAAAGCTAAGATTGGGTGAAGCCTCCTTTTCTGGTGGGAGAAAATTAGTTGCACTGTGGAGGCCAAAGTCAGTTGAAATCTTTCTGCCTAGCAACTTGTTTGTCTGGCTTGCCTCGAGCACCTTGTGTTCTGCAGGCTGCAGCAGCTTATTTGCATGGCTCACCTGAGGTGCTCTGAGTTCTCAGGACTGGCATTGCTTTAGCACTGCGCATCTGATTAACCTCCAGCTCCAGTTGCTCCCCACACATAATAGTTCATGAATATTTTTCAATATCTTTATTCAAAAACAAATATTTAGTTAAAAAATATTTCTCTTGCACTGAGAGTTGGCTTTGTCAGCACTGCTGACCACAGGTAGATTGTCATGAGTGGAGATGAATGGCTGCCACTTCACCAAGAATGATGTCATTCTGCTTCCTGTATTGCTCATCCTCTAGCTGGCCAGCTGAGATTCATCCTTCTCACTTCACCAAAGACAGAAAATGGAGAAACAAAAGGCCTCTCCAGGGCTACATTGGGACCTGGCTTGTAGTCACTTTCTTCCATTGATTAAAGCAAGGCATAAGTTGGAGCCCAATGTCCAGGGAGTGCATTGGAAGACACTGAAAGCCACGTGGCAACAGATGCAGGCAGAGAGAGGTGTGAAGGTTTGCGCTCATCTCTGTAAACCTCTGTCATATATTATAGTTCTGTGCTTCCTTCTTCAGGATCACAGCTGGTGATTTTTTACAATAGTACCTGCACATGAGAATCAGAGAAAGGACAAAAATGAAAACAACCACAAGCATTACAAGAAGCATGTGAAAGTCACTTTATACCGTGTTTTCTTATTGGCTTAGGTCACACTGGGAGAATAAGTTCCACAAATCACTTAACTAATGTGAGATGCACAGTTTTCTTGTTGACAAACTCAATTTCTCATTTTTCGTTTACAACCAGAAGTGGTGATTCTTACACAGATCTCACCTGGGTGAGTCCATAAATAACTAAGAAATAACTAAAAATCACATATAACCATTTTAGGCAGCAGCCCTGTATCACATTGGCAGAATGCTTGCCTAGCATGCTGTGTCACTTGCTGAAGGTGAATAGAGTCTGAACCAAGACAGAAAGAACCAGTAGTGAGTTATCCCACTGTATCATGAAGTAGACATGAGCAAGCATGGGAGGGAATTCCCTTCTCTCAGCTGTGGGCTTAGTGTTCATGAGAATAATGCAGCCTTCACATAGTTCAAAGCCCTTGTCTGAGCTCACATGGTCAGGTTCAATTTAAAGTGACACTTACATGGAGACTAAAGAAGCTCCATAATACATCTCCCCAGTATCAGAAGCCAATACATGATGATATGATTCCACAGCAAACACAACATCTTCCCCAATGCAACATCTTCCCCAACACAACATCAGAGAGAACCACACACAACGCTTCCAACACACCAGCACCAACCCTCAAAACTTCCTGACCCCATCTACTGACCATGATCCTGAGGTTTTGGAGCCAACTCCAAAACAAAGGACTACACTTTCAGAGTCTGTTTTGACTTATGTCTAGATGAACCCCCAAAGTCTCATGGGGCATGGGGCTTGTCCATAGGTGGCTTGATCTAGAGTATGTGATTGATTCATGGCACAATGCTGGGATTTAAGATGTGTGATTACTAAATTAGTCCACGGATTGATTTGTCATAGCCCTAATCCCAGTAGCTTTTAGAGAGTAGAAAAGAAGCAGAAAAAAAGTAAAAGGGTGCTGAGGTCTCTGGGTGCTTTTGCTGCTTCTTCCCTCCAGGATCTGGGCTGTGCTGCCGAGCCACCTTCCTTGGAGCCACCAGTTATGGACTGAAACCTCAACAGACTGGCAGCGAAATACATCATTCTCTGTTTAACTCCAGGTGTCAAGCATCTTCTCTTAGGAGTAAGAGAAGTAACTAAGACAGGGCTCCTTACCTTATCCAAACAAAACAAAAAATCATTATTAAAATCAGTCCAATAAAAGCTAAAAGAATCCGGATGTACTGTATCTCAGCTTCTGCAAAAAGGAAAAAGGAGAGAGACAGAAGAATCAGAAAAAATCATTGGCAAAGGCCCAAAACACATCTCACAAAACAACTAACTCCAGTGAGACTTTTCTGTTTTCCTGTCAATAGTTCCCACCACCAACCCCACTTCACAGGTCTCAGCATCCCCTTTCCTATCACACACAACTCCTGCATCTGAGCACAGGGAGCCCCCAAATTACCACACACATCTCCCACATCTGAGTACAGGAACCCCCTTAACTTAGGAACATTCGCGTTGGAAATTTTTCCAGATACAAAAGGACCTCACATTGTGAGCATTCATAGATGGGAACAAAGTGTGAGTGAGAAGTAGCTCATGTGTCTCCTGGATACCATCACAGTGGTGAGGTGACGGGACTTCCGGGAAGCCCAAGGTAACACCCGTGCAACCCCGGGTGTATCAGCTGTTGTGTTGTACTAGACCCTCACTGTAAGGTAGCTGTAAAAGTACAAATGTTGAATTCACAGTATTTGTGTGTTTGGGATTTTATGCTTTACATTGTATATTTCTGTCAAAGGTGTGTCACACTTACATTCTCAGACTTAGAAATGGATCAGACTTAAAAATATTCTCCCAAAACTAAATAAGCTTGTGAGTCAGGGACTCACTATACTGCACACTTGTCTCACAAGGCGGGTGGCATTAAACAGCACGTAACACACATGTGTCATTCACATGCAGCCAGCTTCTAGAACATGCCATCTCTTACCGTTTACATCCATACTGCTCAGCAGAGGCTTTCCTCCCCTCACACAAAGCGTATTTCAGTGTCCCACTCTCTGGGTCCACACATACCTCACATGCCGTGCCTACAGATATAGCCCAGTCTCCAATACAGCTTGTCCCATTCACATTGCCTAGGGCTCCGAGCTCTCAGGAATATTCATTTCATCAAAGGTGTCCTCCCCCCTTAACGGCAGAGAAATGAACTTGGCAACCAACATTTGAGACCAAAAGCCCCAGCAGGAAGGAGGTTTTAGAAGACCTGTTATGAAAGGGTCGGGTATGTCTGGAGAAAGCCATGGGGATTTGTAAGACCACCCTTTTACGGCCTGTTCATGTGGGAGAGAACCTATTAAGGATTACTCATTTGGACTCCATAAGATAGCAGTGTATAATGGACCTGGAGCCTGAATAAAAGAGGTGCTGGTCCTCTTCCCCAAAAACCTCTTACCATCAGGGGACAAGGAAAAATCCCATCCCCATTTCCTTGCAGCTGACAAGCTCTCCAGTCCCAGCTACAAGGACCATCCAGAAACCTGAAGCTGCCATGAGTAGCCCCGTCTCCACCTGATGACTACTACCACCCCTCTCCACCTACCTGGCCAAGCACCTGGACAGGGACTGAACTCAGACTGCTGCCACTGGGGCTCAGTTAGGCCAGACTTCAGCTTGTTGCCTTAGCCCAAGTTTATCCTTTTCATCATAAAACATTAGCAAACACTTTAGACTGCCCAGAAACCAAAGTGCAGAGTAAAGAAATGTAAAAAGATGCTTACTTCTCACAAACAGTGTCCAGTTCAGCCTCTGGGAGGTATTCAAGGATATGTGGTCCACTACACAAGAGTAGGTGTCTTCCAGAGAGGCACTGAGTTTCAAGTAGCTGGTGATGTTAAAGGTACCATCCTCATTCACGATGATGGGATCAGTACAGATGTCTGTAGAAATCCTCTGGTCCTGGGAAACATTGTGGGTCCGCTTCTCCCATGTTATGTTAATGGCTTCTGGGTAGAACCCAAAGGACTGACACACAAGGTACATGTCATTACCAGTCCCCGTGGTCTGTTCCACAAACACTCTGCTGGTTGGTGCAGCTACCAGGGAAGAGAAGTCACACAGTTGAGCTCAGCACTAATTACACTTTTCTTCTCCCACATCAAACTAACTGGACTCTGCCACACCTACACTTTAGCATCTCTCTCCCATAGCCAGGGAAGACCAAAAATCTGAAACCACGAGGGTCCACAGTTTTCAGAGATGTACACTCAGAGGCAGAGATAATGCCTCAACCATGCTGAGCAATAAACTCAAAACTTGCCGAGTTGCCACCACAGACTGGGAATTCCTGAACAAGAAGTAAGAAGTGACTGACCTCCAATTTGATATCTAGCCTGTGTTAGACTTCAAGGAAGGTGAGTAAACTGTATCGGATTGGCTGAAGTTTAATAGTCTGGTTGAAGGTACCACAGCCAGCAGGATATTGACACACTGTGACCGTGACTCTCATGCTACTCTTCAGCTGGATGCAACACATCCAGGTTGAAACATCCATCACCAACTCCTACTATAGGTAGGTGGGACTACATGAAATTCAACACTCTTATGCAAACCAATGCACATGGAATTTGGACATACACCTAGTTTCCACAGTCATTAATTTAAAATGAATCATAGATTTGAATAAACACAGAAGACAATGAAATGGTCCTAAAGGATCGTATGAGAAAATCCAGTGGCCTTGAATTTGGTGATGTACTTTTAAACACAGGGTGAAGGCCAGGGATGTAGCTGCATGAGTGCAAAGCCCAGCATGCATGGGGCGCTGGCTGTAATTGCAGGGGTGCCAAAACACAAAGTTATTGTGTAGAATGCCAAAACATGAACCCTTAAAGGAAAAGTTGGTGAGTTTCAACTTAGTATAATTAAGAACTACTGAAAGAAATGTGGTACTCTAGAGGGCATCTTGGCACAGAAAAGTGATATTAAATCACAGTTAAAATACTCTCAAACTGTGGACATTATTGAACACTATTGTTTCAATATTGCTACATCAAGTTAATGATCTCTGCTGCTAATGATGAGGTACATGGAGCAACGTGATGGGAAGAATATGAGAACCCCCTGGAATTTTTCTTTTTCTAGCTTTTTAATATTTTGGTGCAGAAGAATAAAACCAGGGCTTCCAACTTGCTAAGCAAGTATTCTACTGCTGAGCTAAATCTTCACCTCTACAATGGATTATCTTAATATTCTATTAACCTTTTAAAAGCCACAGTTATTTCAAGATTTTCTGTAAGCTGCAGAATAAATGACCTCTATTGAACCTACATTTGCAACTCCAGTATTAATATACACGAAACACTCAAAGATCTATGTATAAGGATGAAGGGTTTAAAATAATACTCTCCTGTTATGGAGTCACTTTAGGTACCATTAAAATCCACATGAACTCCCAGAGTTCCTACTATTTCTGAATCGTGCTATTTGGGCATAGAGTCTATAAAGAGGTAATCAAAAAAATATTCCTGTGAAGAACTCCAAATAAATCACAGAGTCACTGCATCCCAAGGAGAAAGGTGTGCACCTCCTAAAGTGGGATCACACAGAGTAACTTCCTCTCAAGGACCAGAGCACAGAAGCAGAGAGGAAGAGTAACTTAACAGTGAAGCATCCAGGCATATAGGACTGCACCCAGGAGGTCAAGGGTGACATGGAGAGTCATGAATTATGTGGCTGGACGAGGGCTGCAAACTCCCTTTACCCGTGATCACCCTCCCAAATCCAAACCCCAGTCACAACATAAGTGCAGCAAACAAACTCCAACAGTAATTCCTACAACAGCTCGACCACTGCTGCTCCAAACTGTCAAGCACATCAAAATCCAGGGAAGTCTAGAAACGTTCACAGCTGAAAAGAGACTAAGAAGCACACAAATTAAAAGTGTGTGGTGTTCTAGATATGATCTTGGAAAGCCAAAAGCATGCTAAGTGAAAACTCAGGAAATCTGAGTAAATTATGGACATAAATTAAGAAGAACTTATCAATATTGATTTACTAATTAAATGCACTGCAGCATACCATGGTAAGTTGGCAATGATATGATAAATTCTGCAGTGGTAGGAATCACAAGAGAGCCCACTGAACTATCTTGTACGTGTTCATTTCTCTTTTAAAAAGCACTGCTAATTCAGGCTTTTTGCAAGTTGCAGAATCAAAGAATTTTTTGAATTACTTAAAATGCTGCACGCCTAATATTACTAGATACAAAGTGATCAAAGTAACACATACACTTAGGGGTGTTTGAAAATGCTGCTCTTTTATTAGGATTTGTGTCTCCCTCAATCTCGTATGTCCACTCCAGAGTTCCTGGTATCACTGAATATAAAGACTGGCAGATAAATACTCAAAAAATTAGTTACAGTAGAATGAGACTGTCAGAGTGGGTTCTAATTGATTGTAACTGGTATCTTTTCAAGAATAGAGATTTAGGACAGACAGAGAAAATCAACCATGAGGGAGAACAGAGAGAAGGCCAAGAACAGAGGACCCAAAGGGAAGCAGCCCCGCTGACACTCTGACCTCAGACTTCTAGAATCCAGAACTGTAGGAAAATGAACATCTGTGGTTATGCCACAGACTGATAAGCCACAACACTCATCCACATGTCAGATGCTTTTATAAAAGAGGAAAGAGCAGGTCAAAGAGCTTTTTGGGAAATGTTTTACCTTGACTGAGACCCCACCTACAGTACAACAGGCAAACAGCTGGGTATTTTCACCCATACCAGGGAATCACTGTGACTCAGTGATGTGTTTGCTATATTTATTCCAACTCTTTATTTGTTATACTTTTTGGCTTTATTTTGAAAGAGCGTCTCACTAAGCTGCCCAGGATCTCTGCAGATCCTCCAGCCTAGGCGTCCCAGGTCACTGACATTTACAGACATGCACCACCAAGCTCACAACTTATTATGGGGCAGGTAGCAGCTATCAGCCCATTTTACACAAGGGGAAAATTCCAGTGTCAAGAAATTAAATGACTGGCCAGAGTCACAGGTTAGAAACAGCAACACTGAGATAGGATTGAGGTCAGTCCAGCCAGACCCCAGACCTCCCCCTTTCCAGGTGACCTGGGGCTTCCACAGTGACATCGACTGTGGACTCATGCAAGAGTAAAGTTAGCTACCAACTGCTAGGTCTGTCAGTTATGAAGCACTGATGAGGACCAGGCTCTGCGCTAAGCTGCTCACCCCTGTTTCCCCAATCTCATCTATGACTCACTTCTGTAGCACACTGAGGCTCAGACTGACTAATGACCTGCCCAGGGCCATCCAGAGGTGTATAGAAGCCCAGGACGGGAGCCCATGTCTGGAATAGACCCACACTCTACCCTCTGCCCCCTCAGGGCCCAACTGCATCCCACCCCAGGACCCAGCACAGGCTGACTGCAGGTCTCTGCCCTCAGGCACTCACCCAGGACTTCCAGTGAGACACTGTCATCTTCCATGGCAGGGGTGTCTACCACCTCGCACCAGTATTCTCCTGCATCCCCCAGCTGGACCGCAGGCAGTTGCAGTGAGGCGTCTCCCCTCAGCAGCCTCTCTGGAGACACTTCGGCCCCAGTTCTGGGAATGATTTTATTATTGCCAAAGAGCTCCAACACTGTGATCTTCGATTTAGATACAGGATCCTTGAGATACCACCTAAAGCCCATAACTCTGAGGTCCAGCCTTGCGAAGCCAGAGAAATTGCAGGGGATGGTGACATTGTCATTCAGGTGTACGGTCAGTTTCCTCAGTGGCACCTCCACTTTCAGAGAACCTGTGACAAAAACACACTCAGTTTTGCGGATCCTTTGCCTCAAATTCCACCACGTAATAAATGTATTTTGGGGTAACCCTGAGGACTCAAGACATAGGTTCTCAGTTCATGGCACTCATCCATCCATTAAAATCCCTCTTTCTTCTTTTTCAAAATTTTTTTGGCTCTTGGGGTCCCTTAGAATTCCACCGGAACTTCGGAATCAGTTTATCACCTGTTACTTAGTGACCAGGTAAGAGTCTGCTAGGAATTACACTCCATCTGCTGACTGACTTGGGAGTACTGCCACCTTCACCATATAAGAAAAGATAAGAATAGAGATGGCTCCAGGCTTTTTTCATCTCTTTTGGCCACCACCATGTCCTAGCCCAGCATCTGCAATTTTTTGGAGGGGTCTTTTTTAAAATTTTTTTTGTCTTTTTCATTTTTATTGGTACTGGGGATCGAACTCAAGACTGCCTGCTTGTAAGGCAGGTGCTTATGCTGCTGAGCTAAATCCCCAGTCCCTGGAGGGGTCTTTTTGAGACAAGGTTTTGCTATGAAATTCGGGTTGGCCTTGAACTCACTCTTTAGCCTAGGCTGGCTTGGAACTCACAGCAAGCCTCCTGCATCAGTTTTCCCAGTGCTGGGCATACAGGTATTTGATACCTGCATACATTTAGTTTATCCAGGCTAGACATGGGTGGGAGTGGAGCAGGGCAGAATTAGGGGAGGTTGGGGGGCAGGTGAGAGGTGAGGTGAGGGTTAGGGGGATGAAGATGGTGAGTGAAGGAAGGAATGTGGAAATGGTGGGCACAGGGTGGGGATGGTAGGTGGTATGGGGATGAGGGTAGGAGCAAAGGCTGGGTGCAGGAGTGGGAGATGGGTGATGTGTCAGGCTGTGAGGCAGGGTACAAAAGAAGGGAATGGCGTGGAGTGGGAGTGTGGAGTAGTGGGAATGTGGTGGGGGAGGGCTCGGAGTGGAACTGGAGGCAGGAGCTGGCCTTTGGATGGTGGAAGGCACAAGGTTGGTTAGGTAGGAATGGGCTGTTAGTGGAGTGATGTGAAAGCTGGTGAAGGCTCAGCTGGGAATGGCAGTGTGTTCCTCAGGGTGGACTGGAATGTGGGGACTAAAGGATAGGTGGGGCACTGCTGAAGAAGGGGGTGCTTTGCAAAGGTTGTGCAGGTGATAAGGGGGTAGTTGGGAGGTGCCCTCTCCCATACAAAAGCTGCTAAGTTCTCAAAGCAAAAAACACTCTTTACCTAGTCACAGGTGCTTCCCAGCTGTGTTTTCCATATTCTCCAACTTTTATGTAGACCCCAAACTCTCACTCTGATTTCACTCTCAAAAACCTCAGCCTACTCCGGCCAGACAAAAGCTTCTCTTTCCATGTTCATACGGTGTTGGCAAAGTCCCTTTTACTGCCTTTGCCACATGGGCTCCCCTGCCCCGCTGCAGGGTGGTTTATCTCAAAACACCAAAGAAGAAGAAGATGAAGAAGAAGAAGAAGAAGAAGAAGAGGAAGAGGAAGAGGAAGAGGAAGAGGAAGAAGAAGAAGGGGAAGAAGAAGGAGGAGGAGGAGGAGGAGAAGAAGGAGAAGAAGAGGAAGAGGAGGAAGAGGAAGAGGAAGAAGAAGAACAAGAAGAAGGAGAAAAAGAAGAGGAAGAGGAAGAGGAAGAGAAGAAGAAAAGAAAGAAAAGAAAGAAAGAAAGAAAGAAAGACAAACTTATAAACATGTTAAAACATCTAACGTTGAGCTTTGCCATCTCAGGCTACGTTTTGCCTGGTTTTGCTTTACCCACTCCTAAGTTCCTCCAAGTGAGAGCGCTCAGGACTCAGTCTGCAGCGCATCTGTAAGCCCAGCGCTTGAGTGGCTGAGCTAAAAGATCACTATGAGTCATGACCACCCCGGGGTACACAGTGCGCTCAAGGCCAGCCTGGGTTACACACTCAGACTCTGAATCTGAGCAAAAAAAAAAACCCCCAAAAAACAAAAAAACCTAGAAAAGTTATTCACTGTCCGGTCACGCTGATGTAACGCCCTCCATCTCTCCCTCTGACCTCAGTATAGGAACTTTTCTTACAGGGCGTCCCCGTTTTCTTCTAGGCCCCCACATAAAGAATGAAGGCAGGGCCCAAAGCCACGAGCCCTGGGACGGAGCCCGCCCTAGGAGCACCTCCTTCAGGCACCTCTCTTGCAGTCCAGTCCCAGCTCTTACCCGAAGTCGCCCGCGCACAACACACGAGCAGCAGCAGCGCCGTCGCCAGCCGGCAAGCCAGGGACGCTCGCGTCACGTGCCCATCGGAGCAGGTTTCTTGGGGTCCGCTCAGCCCCGAAGCTGCCCAGCGACGCCCCAGGCCACAGAGGGACGGCATCAGCTTCTGCAGGGTGAGGGGATCCCCAAGGCTGTCTTCGGATCTGCAGATCGCTGGAGGACGTCTACAACCTTCTAGAAGTCTCCGGCGTCTCCCCGCCTCCTTTCTGTCACCCCGACAACGGCCTGCCGCGGTAAGTGAGGGAGCCTGGGACACCCGGAAATCCCCCACTGGAGTCCCTGGACTGAGAATCAGGTCGTCTTAAGTGGGGGGAGAGTTCTATACATTAACAAATAAACTCACATCACTCCTTCCCCCAATGAAGAGTGAATCCAAGGTTTCTCACGCTGCTGGCCCTGCACAGCGACCTCTGTGGCTGCGGGGTGCGCGTGTGTTTCAACAGGAAGCTCCTTCTGCGGGCTCGCCAGGGCTCCAGCAGGAAGAGCAGGAGTCCCAGAGCAAGCTCAGGGAGAAGAGGGCAGAAGCTGGCTCATCTTCATTTTCAGTACAAATACAGACCTTCACAATGGGGCCTCGCGATCTCTCTGACCTTTTGGGTTTCCAGCAGAAGGCATCAGAAAAGCTACTGCAGGGATCACCGGCTCTTGACCGCCAAGGGTTCACAGCCCGCTGGTGCTTGGATCCTTAGATGTGTTGGCTCTTCCTAGCATTGCGAAGCAATAGTCTCAAAGCCTTGGCTTGTTCACCCACTAACAAGGCTTAAAATCCGTGAGACAGGTTCACGGTCCCTACTCATGATGTGCGGGTTTTCATCTTAATCGTGCTCCACGGTAGGGGAAACCCAGGGTCACACATGTGGTGCATGCGCTCTGGCTCTGCTAAGCAGGCTTTGGGGAAAGCTGTCATCTGAGGGCTTAAGCTGAAGGGCTCTAACTCAATTAGGGAGCCCACAAGGGACTTCCCAGTGGAAATCCTGCTCTTCCCTCTCCACACCCCGCAGGAGGCAGGTCCAGCACTTCTGCCCACCAGGACCGCACATCTACAGAGATCTCCTCACCAGCCTCTTTCCGGGGAGAACTTTGTGGTTGGAAATGTGGCCAGCCCATTACTCATATGAGTGGGGAATCTGGCTCTGAATTCTCAGCAGCCTGCTCCCTCCCCAATCTACCAAAAGCCCTGGACGCGTCTTTTTTTTGGCGGGGGAGGGGGGTGTGCTTTTTCCTTTTTATCGGTACCGGGGATTGAACTCACGACTGCCTGCTTGCAAGGCAGGCGCTTATGCCGCTGAGCTAAATCCCCGCCCCCTGGACACGTCTTATATTTAAAAAAAAAAAAAAAGAGCAGAGAGGTTTTTTTAAAAAAAAATTAATGTAAAACAATTACACTCAGGTCATTAAAACACAGGATAGAAAATACAGAAGCCAGAAGCACCACTTTGTTTCAATTATTGCACATGACATGATGCACACATTGTATGTGCTGGGTTTTTGCACTAGCAGCACAGTGTTTGTTGATGTCCACATGAGCAGTCACAGGAGCAATTTGTCCACCACCTGTGATAACCTGACATCTCAGTGGGCTCTGCCTCCTCAAATGCTGTGCTTCCATATCAGCCCCGCTTATCTTGCTAACACCTAGATAAGGTGTCATCAAAACCTATTAGGTGATGGTAAATTTGATAGACACATTGTGATTATTCTTCCTGAACAAGCTCCCTTTTGCTATGGGTGATACACTGTGTCAGCGTCAGCAGTGTAGAAGTTTGAGAGACTCAGCAAGGAGCCAGGGTTGTTACTTTCTAAATATCCTCATTCTGTGCAAGAGGAGGGCAAGGAGATGTGAGTACTACCCTTGCCCTGGAGCTGGGGCAGCTTGCTCTGCCCTGTTGCTCTGGCTGCTTTTGCTGGCTGCTGCCTTGAAGTGTTGCCCCAGTAAATGCCACCTTGCCTTGGAGCCAGCTGAGTATGGACTGAAATCCCCACAAATTGTGAGTTGAATAAACCTTTCCTTCCTTCATTTTGGATGTCGGTGTTTTGTCCCAGCAACAAGAGAAAAGTAATTGAGACACCTTTTATGGTCATTTTGACTTTGAGGAAGTGCCATTTAGTCGCTGTGTGCAGAGTCCAGTGAGAAAGGCGGATGAGGACACAGCACGATGGGTACCGGAAGCCTCTTTCTGATGGAAGGCCCTCAGCAGTAGCACTGACCATATTTTGATCCCACCTCTAAAGACACTCCTGAAAGTGGACTTCCAGAACTGCTTCAGGAAGTCTTAACAGGAATGGCAAGAGCCTATTCAAAGCAAGGGGGGAATATTTTCAGGGAGTAAAGGCAATAGTGTGACACTGAATGGTTTTTAAAACCTCTCTGTATATATTTGTTAACCCTCCTCCCATGGATTTGGATCACAGGGCATATTGCTAATGTGATGTGATGTGTCACTTGAGTGTGAAAGCTATAAAGACTGGAGTAAAAGAACATGGGATTTCCTGAATCATGGTTATAATAATCCTATCACTAGTAAAATATAGAGTAATTGGCAAGATAAGGCTTATGAGCTAGACAAAGGGTGTGATTTTATTGTTATTCAATAAATAACAGACAGAAATATGTCTGGGCTATTCTCATGTCACAGGAGACTCCTAAAAATTGAGGGCAATTCTAGAAAACAGGTTGCCTGTACTGTGACTCCCTGACTTGCTAACACTGATACAAATGGACCTCATGTAATGAACATTTGTAGATGCGCACAAATCTCAGAGTAGCTCATGTGTGTGCCAGACACACTCACAGCTGCCTGCTGTGTGCGTACCGTGCAGGGCTACAGTGTGGAATCAGAGCTGTGCATGTCCGGAAGCCAGAGGAAAAGCAGCAGCGATGTGGAGGGAAATGCTAGGAAGAACAATGCACTGTCGCTGCATGTTTGTTTGGGAAGTGGGTAGGATGCACTTTTTCAGACTTAAGAACTGATAGAACTGTGGGGGACCGGCGGCCACGGCTCAAAAGATAAGAAGTATGAAATATAAACGACCTTTATTTTGAGAATGCGGGGAGAGACACCCCCGTTCCCCTGGGGCGCGGCATCCCCCCCCCCCCCGCGATCTCTCCGTGGAACTGGTGCAGTGGAGGCATAGGCGTGCTTAGGTTAGGGGTGGTGCCTGAGGGGCATTAGGGATGCCCAAGTAGTGCATTGGTATTTTGGCGCCATAGGTAAATTCCTAGGGGTGGGGGAGATGGAGCTCCTTGGTTCTGTCTGAGGCTTTACCAGCTACAGTGACCTGTCTGGGCCAAAACTCTTTCAAGAACAAAGTCCACTTACAAACCTTCTCCTGGAAATGACTAAGGAGGTAGCCCTGTGTGACCTCACCCTTGCAGAGACCTTCTTGCCTCAGCCAGCACACACAGCTTCTGTTTTAAAGCTCTCTGTGGGGAGAGCTTTTCTGCATTGCAATATTTAATTTTTAGATGATGACATAAGGGAAAATCTAATGTAGTTTTAAAGACTATACAACAATTATAAAATCACCGAGACTTATTGAAGTATTATCTGTAAAATTAGCAGGCCCTAGAGTGGCTTGGTTGACTCAAGAGCTTCTGACATGCATTCCTGTAACACAGAAGAAGGAAGGACAAACACTGCAGCACCCCGTTCCTTGTGCAGCCCCTTCATGTGACACAGTCCCTAACACCTGCTTTAGGTCTGCTTCTTCAGAAAATCTTGCCAGGATTCTGCGTGATGTTATGCTGCTTACTCAAAACTTTTAAGATGAATCAGAAAGAAGCCTCTTCTTTTTACTTTAATTTCATTTTAAAGCAAACAAAATGAAACAAAACAAGAACAAAACGATGAGAATGATGCTGGATTTCAAAAACAACACAAAAGAAAATCAGTAAAACCTATCCTACCACACGCTATTATGCTCCAAGTAGTTGCTCAGGCTACCGCCTAGACACATGGTGAGTTAATCAAACAACACGAGCCCTAAATTGTTTCTTTATTTTAGTTGCTTCATTTCAGAAATCTCAGGTGTGCACCTTCTAATTTGTTTTGTGTCCCTGTCTCCTGGACTTGCTCTGGGGGGTGCCCTGAGTCTGAGGCAGCATCTTGCTCCTTGGCCCTGACATCTTTCCTTATTGCTCCTGAAGCAGCTGCTTGCTGAGTGCTGGGCACCTCCTGCACTGGCTGCCAGTCCCTGGTGCCAGGTGCTGGCCTGGCACCTGGGCTTCTCTGACCAGAGGGCAGGCTGAGAGGCACAGGCCAGCTGCTGGCCCACCCTCCCCAGGGCCCAGCCTTCCTTCCTTCTCCTCCCCTCCCCCCGGGGAGCAGGACTTCTTCTCTAGGTCTGGGTAACTGACTCACTGCAGGAGCAGGGAGGCTCTTCTTAAAGTAGCTCTTTACTTAAACCAAGTGTCAAGACCTCCATGGGATTTCACAGCTCACAGTGAGATGCAGCAAAGCATCTTAACTATGGAGGTGGTGGAGGGAATGTAGCTCAGTGTTACCACACATGCTTAGCACTCATCAGGCCCTAGATTTGATTCATTACACCCTGAAACAAAAGGGAATTCACTTAGTTGGTGAGATAGGGTTTTGAAAACTCTGGATCTCTTTAGAGATCCAGAGTTTAATCCCTAGGGCAAGTGTCTAGAGTCATAAATGACCAGGAAGGGACTTTAGTTCCTCAGACTTTCCCAAGAAGTTAGAGCCAGGTTCAGATCAGGTGAGACTTGGGTCCCTTCTCTGTGCCTTTAGCTCTCTGTGCCTTTAACACCTGCACCAGCAGCTCTGCCTGGCTCCTCAGTTCAGAGCTTGAAAGACTGTTCCCTCTGCCTCCAGCTCCCTCCTCCCTGCCCCTGGCCTCAGCCTGAGCAGGCCCTGGGAGAAGCCCTAGTCCAGCATTATTTCTAATATTCTTGTCAGGCAACCAGCAGCTGCCCCACCTCCCACCTCTGCACCCCGCTCCCCAACCCATCCCACTTCCCCCACCCCCACCCCTGCCTTCCTGAGTCCTGGAGCTCACACAGGGGCTGACAGGGGTTCTGGAAGCCAAGCTGGCCTGTGCACCCAGATGCTGGGACCCAGGCCAGCCCCGCCTTGGTTGAAAAACCTTGGGCCTGTGGGGCCACCGTGACTCCACAGCTCTCCCCACCCCAGCTGTCTACATTGTGCCAGTGAGACTTCCTGTCTGTCTCCAGTTCCCTCCTTGCCTGGGCCTTGGCCCCACCAGGAAGCTTTACTGAGCCTGATGCTAGGTCCTGTCACTTGCCTCACTGTGCTGCCTGGGTTTTATTTTTCCCTGCCCAGGCTGCTCCTCCTATCCACTACAGGTGACTTGGGGGCACCCTGTGATGCCCAAACTCCCTGCTCATGCCTTGGACTCCAATGAACTGAACTCCCCGCTCCAAACCCATGAGGCAATTTCTGAACCCCCTTTGGCTCAGAGCACCCTGGGCCAGACTCCAGCTGCTCAGGCTTTTAGAGTTGCGCTTCTTAAAACAGACTAACTCCTAGTCACACTGCACACTCAGGCCTCCTGCCTGCACCCACCAGGGAACCCTTTCTCCACTGCCCTGCTCCTTGTCATACTCCCTGCCTGGGGGCCAGCCAGCCTGGATTGAAACCTCTACAAACCTTGAGCTGAAATGAACCTTCCTTGACTCATGGGTGTCAGCTATTTTATTCCACCAACAAGACGCTGGGGGTAGAAGGGCTGTGCTGATGGGAGAGGGGCAGTCCGGAGGCACCCCCCCCCCCAGATCCACTGGCTGCTAAGTGCTTCAAGCAGAAACATTCTCTCCCCAGTCTCAGGTGCTTCCCCACTCTTTTTGCCCTCATCTTCAAACTTTTATGAACACCCCACACCCACCCTGAACTCACGCCACAATAAACATTCCTTTTCCATGGTCCTATGTGTAGCAGTCTTTTTTATTGCCAGTGCCACATGCTGGAGGGAGCCTTACCTCAAAACCCAAAAAA